CCCCAAAACCCCAAAACCCCAAAACCCCAAAACCCCTTTCCTCCCTATTATAGTTGATCATATCCTAGGTTTAATTTTTTTGTAAGTTATACAACGAAGTAAGTATCTTAGAACTGGAACGCACCTGATCTGATTGACATACACCTCTTCTGACCCCTTTCCATAGTAGAAGCAGTCGGCTTTGCAGTGGAAGAAATGTTTGATCCTTCGTACTGGGAGGTTCTTTTGTTATTTCCTAGATAAGTTGATTTAAAAATTTTGAATAAGGTGTTCTCTGAAGAAATTCCCTTTCCTTGTCTCTCTTTCTTTGAATTATTCATCGACTTTCGCTGGGTTACCTTAGTAGTATTCTGACCATGAGTTTTAATGTTTATTATATCCTCCTCTATTTGCTCTTTCAAAGAATCTTTGGAATTCGGAGGAGGAACAAAAACCCCATTTTTGTTAAACGATGAGTACAAAGGTTTATAATCAGTAGAGAATGACCCTTGTCCTTTGAGGTTGTCAAAGTATCTCCCTTTACAAGAGATGATCTTGCCTTGCTTCTCGCTCCATCTGAGATAATTACTCTTGTGCTTTTTACGGCTCTTTGTTTTCACAATATTTTTGTTAGCATTTGGTTTGTCAGCTATCCCATCCTTCTTTTTCTTCATCACTACATGTTCTTTAAATGACTGCTGGGGAGCTTCATTTATAGAAAAATCTGCTAGGACAATCATTTCATTCCTGCTACCAAGTTTATTGTTTTGGAGCATCTGAGCTTGGGATTTATTCCTAGGATTCTCTACATACTCTTTACGTTTCTTCCACCATTCCTTGTTTGTTTTGTAAAAGGAAGGGATGTCAGGGCCATTTACCCCCAGAACTTTGAGCTTAAAGTGTTTTTGATTATACTCATTCTCTCTATTCGTTCTATTCTGGATTAGGTTAGACCTGGTCCTTCTGACTTCTGGTTGATAATTCATCCTAAAATAACTGTTTTCCTTGTCAATGATCCCTCTATCAAAATCTTCAAGCTTCTTTTGTGTCTTAATTTTAGCATTCTCTTTTCTGGTTTCACTCAGCCTTCTAGTCTGGAGCTGGGTGTTTGTCTTGATTATTGGTTTTTCAATGTCTAAATCCATGAATTTGAAATTTACATTTTAAAGAGATACTATTGCCATAGTTAGCACTATTTCTATAATTTATGCCTTGAGTGTGCTTGTTTAAGCCATTCTTGACTCGAAAATAGTTTGCCCTCTCCTCGTTCCTCTGCTTTACTGTTTTAGGCCTACAGTCTTTCTTCATTGGAGTTTCTTGAGTTGGCTTTACTTCAACAAAATAAGGATGCTCATTTTGCCAATTTGCTATGGAACTCTCTGCAAATTTATTTTTGTTTATCTTTTCTATAAGCTTGCAGCTTGTTTAAAGTAGCAAATGGAGGGTCATCACCAACCTCAGAATCAGTTTTCTGGTTTATGACTTCTGGGTTGTATTTTCGAAATTCAAATCTGTTTTCATGACCAGTTGGAGCTCCAGCAACCTCAGTAATAGGCCTGTGCTTGAAATTGAGACTCTGGTATTTAGTATTCCAGCTCTCAGGAATTAAGATATCTTCATCTAAAAGGTCTCCTACCTATATACAATAATTAAGTAGAGAGTTTAAACTCAGATTTTATAACAAAAAGGGTCTTTTCTTACTTTAACCTTGCTATTTCTCAAACCCACCGATAGAGTATCGAGCAACCTCATGTTTTCTCCTAGAGAAACTTCTCTCAGTAATATTTAGAGAGCTATCAAGTCCCTGGTTTCCAAAAATCTTAGATTGTGTCACTGTTGCCATTGTTAAATTTCTAAATAAAATTAAAATTTGAAAGAAATTTTGTAAGGGGTTTTGGGGTTTTGGGGTTTTGGGGTTTTGGGGTTTTGGGGTTTTGGGG